GGCAAATCGTACTTATGGTTTTGAAGCAGGAGGATATCTTGATTTGTCAGAACTTATATAAAGTCCTGTTGAATAAAGGAATTAGTGGATTGTATCCTGCTAGTTTTTATCACCATGGAAAAGACATATATGAGTCAGTACAGTTCCATCTTGTCTTCCTCTTTCTTCAACAGTGAAGACCATCCTTTCCTGGCTACCTACATATGAGCATCATTCTCCATTTGCTGTGCTGCCAGAGAGGGGATGAGTTCTATTATGATAGTAATTCTTAAGTTCTCTCTTGTTATTATCTAACCTAGGTTTCTGGCTGTTTTGTCCAATAAAAAACAAGAAGGTATACATAGCTGGAACCCATTCTACAGACTGGCAAATTGAGACCTGAAGAATACTCCAAATAGCTCTGAAAACAAAGCTTGCCACTTCTCGGCTTTCAGCATGCACAGAGGCTGGTGTGGAGACCCATTGGGTGGGAAACAGCCCACTGAAACTCTGCCCTGTGAAGCTTGGGAGCTGTGAGCACAGGTGCTATTTCAGTGGTTGACACAAGACATACGGGCACTAGAACTACTAGACAACAAACACAGGTAGATGCGGACTACTTAAGGCATCTTCTGAATGTCTCAGTCTTTGGTGCTATAACCGAGGTGGCCATGTGAGGAACACAGAGAGGCAGACAAGACTGGAGCAACACACGAGAGTCTCATTCCACCTGGGACCACTGATTGATCTCACTATGCCTGCTAGTGTCACTGGATGGTGCTGAATGCCAGCAGGATGTGGTCTTGCCTTATTAATATGCCAATCATTTAAAGCAATTGAGAACCACATGACAACTGGAGTGGGAAAGGAGGTATTGGCAAAGGGGTGATGAAGCCTTTCAATAACCAGATGCCTAGACCTTGTTCTTAACTCTTAGAGGATCTGGGGCTTACAGTCTCTTGCTTGATTCCTCTTGCACAGGAGGCCAGCCTGCCAACATTTTCAACACTAGTAGGGAGTGGGGACAGAAGTCATCAAAATTGGCTCAAAGTTCCTTATGCCCTCGTCTCAGACTCAAGCGCCTTCCTGAAGTAAGCTATACAGAGGGTAAAAGGGCCTGAGAAGAGAAGACATCTTAAGCCTAGGGGAATTTTCCAGCCAAGCCCAAGGTCTTCCGATAGTCAAAGATGGGAAAGGTGTTTAAGACATGGCAAAGTCACGAACCCAGGTTCACAGATCTGTGCACACCGCCATCCTTACAGCAAGCCCCAGCTCACTACATGGGAGAGAAGACCCATGATGAGGTAGTGGTAAAAGGACACACAATAGTAAAGGTCTAGAGAGTAGAAAAGTAGGCTTCCAGCTATAAAATCCAGTCTTTCCACTCCCCAAGACACTTCAGTTTTTAGAGCCTACCCCACCCTGCCTCGTAGCCATGGTGCCCTTCTCAGAGCTAAGATAGGTGGGTGGAAGATGAGTTTTCACCCAAGCACTGCATTCCATGGACATTGGGCTTGAACTACAGACAAATGGTCCAGAAGTCATCAGAAGGACCTGAGGTGCTCCGTACTTATCAATATTCCCGTCTAAGATGAACTTCACATGTCTATCTGAGCTTCTCTCTCCACATGGTTCTGATGCAACTATACAGCAGTCTTAACTTCCTGCTTCCCCAACCTACTTATCTTTCTACCAACCCCCAGATTCAAGGTCATAAAAGGCTCCTAGGACTGAGGATGTGGCTCAGTGGGAAAACATTTGCCTACCAAGGGCCTATGTTTCAACAATGCACACACACACACACACACACACACACACACCAAACTCAGCCCCATCATTCCCACTCTGGACACCCAGGGTCTTAGGACAGTGCTTCTTAGCATGACACATTGCCAACTACATCCCACCTGTCCTGTCTTGAGTGTGAGCTCAATAGTCTGCCCTTAAAGTTGTCTTCCCACCCTAGAGATTCTGCCTAGCAAAACAATTTATGAGCATCAGTCTCCCCCTGAGAGGTACCAGGCAACAACAGCATTAACCTGAAAATGATTGTGAGTTGAAAAGGTGCTTTTGTAAAGAAATGAAAAGCTACAGAATGCAATGGTATGGATGCCTAACCAGGTCAAGGTTTTGTGATGACATTAGCCTGTTTTTACATTCTGGGAGAGTACATGGCTAAGGAGCTGGTGTTAACCTCATGGGAAGAAAAGCAGGATTTCAAATAAAGAAAAAAAATAAGAAGTCTTCAGACATTGAAGTGAGTAAAAGAAGTGAGAAATGAGGAGCCCCAGGACTTCTGGATGCAGATGGGTTCCAGGTCCGGATCCTGCTGGAGGCCTTGGGTATACTCCCTTCATTCCACTTAAGCTTCTCTTCATTCTTACTCTGGATCTTTCAGGAAAGGGCATCCCTCAGGGTAGGGAGCAGAACCCGCCTACTGGCGCAAAGGCAACTGTGGGCTGATATCTGTCCTGCTCTCCCAAATAACTGCAGCTTGTCTGTCACCTCGCCCTCACTCTCAGGGTTCAAGAACTAAGGTGCGGACCCCTTTCATGTAGCCAGTTTTAGGGAAGATGTTTCTGTAAGCCAGGACTGCCTGCTCCCTACAAGTGCAGGTGAGTTATACTTTATGGTGCTAGGCTATTCGTAGAGGAAAGTTTTGCCCCAGTTCCCGGGTTCCTTTGAGGTGCCCTGTGTTGTAGCCTCAGCCCACTGGGTTCACTCCTTCCCTGTCCTTGGAGAAACTATGAGGGATGCAGAGACATTGTTAACTCCGACCCAGAGTATGTCCTTCACCCATTCCCCCCAACTCCTTCCTTGAGAAAATCCTAATCCAGCCTCCAGAAGCAAGGTGGAAGGAGTAATCAGTCTATGGAGATCTTCCTGGACTCTCAGGAAAGTTTAACGTTTTTTCAGAGGATCAGAGGCACCCACCTGGCTCCCTCTACCAGGCTCAAGCAGGTACTGAGCACTGGGCTCTGCCTGTGACCTTCCCTACTCCCCTGGTATACTGGAGACCTCAGAATAGGAAAAGGACACCTTCCCAACTCTGGACTTGCCAGACTCAAATGACATCTGGGAACTTGGTTTTCAGAACCCATCTCTTCTCGGAAAAATGTAATTCAAAACTTAGGAGGGTTGCATAAAATTTTCAAATTAATTAAAATTGTTATTTAATATTTAAAGTGACACAACATTATGTATTGGATATCTTTCTTTTTTAAATTCAATCTTCTCTTCTTTCTTCCCTATAAGCTTCAATTTATTTTCTAATTTTCTCTGGTAGCTTAGAAGTACTTTAGAAAATTATGTTTAAAAGAAAAGGGGAGGAAACCCAGACTAAGGGATTCTGAATATAAAATGAAAAATTATGTGTTTTACCTAAGACTAGATATATGAGAATTAAGAATCTCAGTCGGTATGTCTGTACATATGTAAGGGAATTTAGGTTTAAGCTAATGTTTAACGAAAAACATGCATCTCAATTTGCAACAAGAGAAAAAGATTTTAGAAAAAGAAAGAAATGCCCCTACAGATGAGATTTAGTGCTGAAGACTCAGAGACCCTTTGATACTGCCTAAAATGTTGGCAAGCCTTCCCAGTCCCTTCAGCATTGTGTGAAAGATGCCTGCAGGCATGGTCCTCTGCTTGCAGAGGACTCCAATGCAATTACCAACCCTATTAAGACGTGCTGGATTCTGCACGGAGTCTAGCAGGCTGACTGGGGAGGGTTGCGGCATCTTACCTGGTCACTGCAGATTTGTTTTCCCCAAACAAGCAAGTGCTTGCAAAAGAGCACAGCATTAACAGCCCTTCCCAAGGTAGAGACTGTCACAGTCCTAGACTCCACTAGATTCCCCAACCTTTCCTGGGCTTGGACCGATCAAATCTGTTAGGGAAAATTCATGTCTCTGCTGTGATGTCAGAAGTAGGAAGGAGAAAGTGGGAGATTTATGTATTTCAAAGGCACAACCTGCCCATTTGGTGGAAGGATAAAGAAAGCAAGAGGTGGTGGAAAGATTATGTTAAAACAACAACCAAAAAATACAGTAGCGAATTCATAAAAGGGTGAGAAGGGATGCAGAGAGGTAGAGATTGAAGAGGGAATAGAGGAGAGGGTTCGGAAGGGAGGAAGGGAGGAGAGAAGAGAGCATTTGGGAAGAGAGAAAAGACAGAAAGCGGGGGAGAAAAAAGCACAGGAAACAGAGACGCAGAGATTCGGAAAAACGGAGACCAGTACGGGATGCCAGTCCGTGTTGCAGGTCCCAACAGAAGCGCAAGAAGGCTTTTGCACCCCGGAGTTTAAGCACCTCTTCTATCACCCCTGGGACCACAACTAGCCAATGCCAGTTGTGCCTTTCACAGAACCAGCAATTCTTTGCAGCACGGTGCAGATCTCGAACCCAGCTCTCGGGAAGGGAGCAAATCGCGTGCTGTGGGCATCTGTGTGCGTGTGAGCCAGCTAGCCAGTGAGTGTGTGTGTGTGCTTGGGTGCGTGCACGCCACAAGCCTACCTTCACTCACATGCCTCTCGCACTCCCTCTTTTCCTCCTTGCCTCTCCCTCTTCCCCCTTCCCCTTCTGCCCTAGCAGCGTGCACCGCACCAATGCTGGGAGAGAGAAAACACCCTTCTTTCCCGGGTACCTGGGATGAAGAGCAGGGCAGTGGTGGCCGAGAAGACGATCCAGTAGGCGGGATGGTACATCTCGAGGCTGTGGCGCGCGGTGGCCCGGCTAGCTCCCGCTGTTGCTGCTGCTGCTGCTGCTGCTGCTGCTGCTGCTGCTGCTGCTACCGAGGCTGCTTCCTCTGTGCTGAATTCTGAGCAGGTTTAAATCCAATGTTTGCAAAGGGAGGGAGAGAGCAGAAGAGAGAGAGCGCGCGCGAGATGGGAGCAGCAGACAGCGTCTCTGATTTTTTTTTTTCTTGCACATACACACAACTGGTAAGAATCATCAGCACCAATCTTCACTGGGCACACAGCAGACCACCTCCAAGCCACGCATTGGCTCCACTCTCCTGAGCGACAATGGGAGACTTTCCTTTTGGGAAGGCTCCACTCCCAGGGGAGTTGAAGCCTGCCCCTTGCGCACCCTCTCACCGCGCAGCAGTACTGCTGGAATCTGTGTGAGTATGCCAGTGTGCCTCACATGGGCACATCCGCTCCTGGGTGGGCAACGGGAGGGATCTGATACCCTTTCCCTTCCTAGATCTTACCCCAGCGGGGTTCAGGACACAAGGAAGAGGAAAAGGCTGCTTTCTGGCAAAAATTGACTAATGCCCATGCCAAGGCCTTCTCGTTCCCCCTTCCAGGTCTCCAGGCCAGGATACACCCAGAACTGCAAGCCACAAAGAGCCCAGATGTTGTTCAAACGCACCATGTCCCCACCCTACCAGAATGAGCTCTTGGAAAGCAACCTGGCTCCCCAAATGGAAAATGGGCATGTTTGGGGTTTTTTTTCTCACCAAAGATAACAGGGAATTGGCCAGATCCCCATAATTAGAGCATTCGGGAATTCTACCAAGACAAAAACCCCAAACAATTGCCTTGATCCTAGCATCCTTAGTCAGAGACATATCCAGATTAAATCTCAAGGAAAAAGAAACTTGCAGAAGTCCTCAGAAGGGGAAGGCTCACAGTGATGCCTTTGGCCTTCCTCTTTTCTTTTTTTTCCTTCACCATGGTCCAGTTTGCCTCCATGCAATGACAGTTTATAGGAACCATAATTCTGCATCTCAGAATACAGGCAAAACACTTGCTCCATCCACACTCCCCAGAGTGTGAGTGGTGCACTGCTGGCATGCTGCCTGCACTTTGAGGATGGGCAATGAGAACAGAACTGGATTATTACAGAGGTTCTGGGAAGAGTACTTTTGTTACTAGGTGCTCTCCAAAGACTGCCATGTCGACTGGGATTCTTCCCCAGGTTTGTGCACATGCTCCACTTCTGATATGTGAGTGGCTTTCTGGGTGACAATCCCCCTTCCTTCCTTCCTTCCTTCCTTCCTTCCTTCCTTCCTTCCTTCCTTCCTTCCTCCCTCCCTCCCTCCCTCCCTCCCTCCCTTCCTCCTTTCTTTCTTCCTTCCTTCCTTCCTGGCTGCTGCTGTGATGTATTCCCAATACCTCCTATGAGACAGGGATGTACAAGTGTTATTTCAGCTGTTCCCGCCAAGGTCCTGCCCCATAGACACCATTACCCTAGGATTTCAGTTCAGCAAGTGACTTGTGAAACATTCTATAGCTAATGAGTTCAGATTCAAACCTGGGTCTATACTACCATAAAACCAGTTTCAGTGAAATAGGAGGATGCACACAACTCATTTGCATCTAACAGAACTTCACTCTTTCTAGAAAATAAGATGTTAGTCTTTAAACAAATAGAACAATTGATCATTTCCCTCCTTACAAACACAATAATTAATAGCATCATCACCAACACTTAGGAAGTTCTCACTTTCTAAGGCTGGATCTAGGAAGAATGTTGTTTGTTCTTATCTGCAAAAGCCATATAATACATCAGAAGATTCCTCTAGGAAAAAAGGAATAGTGTATTAGTGATATATATAGAAGATAATAGAATACATATACTTTCCATAGTAAAGTTGCTTCCTATTGAGTCAGCAGTTGGAAAAGATGTCACACCTAAGCAGACCTATCTATGGATCCTCTGAACAAGGACAGTATCAGACTGAAGTTCTAAGGAATCATTGCCAGTTGCTGAGTCCTCTGATGCACACAGAGGCCTGAAGGGCAGGAAGAGATCAGACAGACCACAGAAAGGAAGCAGACAGCACAAGGAGGGGGCCTGGCAGATACACACAAGAGGTCTTTAGGAAAACCAAGGGAAGCACTGAGGGATGAGTTCATGAGAAACAGTGAGAGAGACCTATAATTTAGAGATTCCCTATTATGCTGGGAAAGAGTTAATTTCCTTTTGAGAAAAGGAAGACTATGAATGAGGGCCATTCACTTGTGGAAATGTGCTGGGGAAAATATAAACTGTCTTCATCTTAGTAGACATAGACCAGATCTGATGATAGACTCTGATGGCATTGGAAGAGGAAAGAGGTGGTCCGGATATGGTGCTGAAGGATTAGTCTTTCGGGGTGACTCATTAACCGCCTGTTCACTAAAGACTTCAGATATGGCATCACATTTAATTCTTAGCCAATTTGAAAGATGAAGCAACTGAGATTTATAGAGATCAAGTAATTTATCCAAGGTCACAGAACTAGTAAGTAACACAGCCCAAATTCAAACCTGTGTTCTTCTGTTTTCTCTAATCAAAGAAATTATAGTATTAAGCATTATCACGGCATTGGTCATCTATGTATAAGGAACTCTGTTATTGGCCTTATATGTCCCTTTTTTTAATCTTCTCAAAAGATAGTGATAGAGGTATACTGTCCTGACAGCATAGATGATAGAGCTCAAAAGGTTTTAACAGCATCCTGAAGTTTGTGGACTACTCATCTGGGGTTGGAGGCAACCAGCTTTCACCTCTTACAATAGCTGGTGGTGGAAAATAACCTAGGTACCACTGAGCTTCTTCACAGCACTGAGTAATTTCTGCAATGATCAACAGTCCCTGTAGCCTCAACTGTGCACTGAGCACCTGAGGACTCTGATGAGCACTGGGCACAAGCCCTTCCTGATTCTCACAGGGACTGTAACACCAGTTTCTCCTTAAGCACATTAGAACTGTGAGGAGCACTCAACACAGCCTCCCTCCTGACAGCAGTCAGAGTACAGGCTGTATTCCTCTGCTTCCCATCACCATACAAACTCCTGAGAGCATCGCCTTAGTAAGTGCTGGTTTTTAGGCTCACATCTTGGGATGCTGTATCCATGACTGAGTACATACAAAGCTTTCAGATTTGGTGCTTAAAACATCAAAGCTAAGTGGTAGCTGTGATAGAGTACAAACACCCTGATCATGCCGAAGAATTGAAAACCAGGAGGAAGAAGAGGCTAGAGGTCCACTGTCTCCTTTAAGGGTACACTCCAGTGATAGCTGACCTCCCATCAAGTCTACCTCTAAGGTTCTAGCACTTTCCAACCGCAAGCACAGAGGACCGTGCTTTCAACACATGGATGTTGGTGGGGAATTAAAGAACACACAGGGGTAAGCTACCATGCCTGGCCAGAATATTTTTGCTTGTAAAAGCAGATATGGCTCAGTGGTAGAGCTTTTTACCTAGTATGCACAATACCCTGACTTCAGTCCTCAGCACCACAAAACTGAAAGAAAACAAGAGCATCTGCATATTCTAACAATCTCCCTCCTAATCTGTGAGAGTTACTTCTTAATTAAATTCACACTTAACAAACATCAGTGAAGATCAGGAAATAATTTATGGTTTTTTTTAATTTCCGTGCTTGACAAAGTCTTTTGTAAAGACCACATAAATATGTATTTTTACTGATCAATTCTTCTAGGTCTATTATATGACTAAAACATATGTCTCCTTTATTTTTTTAAAAAGTAGAAATGTATAAATGCATATTTAATCAATAGATGGCACCAACTCTGAAAAGAGATATTATGGTCTACTGGGTCCATTTTAGCATTCTTAAAAAGTACAAATAAAAAATAAAAATGCTTCAGTGCATATTTACTAGGGGAACTGTTCTCTTCTCTGGGGTAAATAATAAGCAATTTTATACCTTCTGTGATTTTTTTTCTTCTTCCAAAGCAAACAGAATCATCAAAATTGTGTTTAAATAACAATAAAGTATAGCAACAAGCCAACTGGAAGTGGGAAGTTTGTGTGGGAAGACAAGAGTCATCCCTTGGGAGGCTTCTGCGCTTTGAACCAGTGAAGAGGTCAAGTAGACTTGCTCATGTGCAAGGCTGGCTTTGAGAGCTTCAGAAGAAAGGCAAATGGGTAGGGGTGGGGCCTTCACCCTTTCGCTAAGGAGTTTCCTATTTGCCCCACCTCTTTGCAAGCTCACTAGCCTTAAGCAAGGATACCTAGCCTTCTTCTGATCTGTTTTTCCCTTTTATGTCATTTTATGAAGGAAGTTTTTTGAGAGTATTCTTACACATTCCAGCCTTGCCTTGAACTTACTATGTAACTCAGCCTGCCCTAGACCCCTAGATGCTCCTGTCTCAGCATACTCATGCTAGAATAACTGTGAACCAGGTAGTCCAGCATCTATTTTTTTATACAAAGAACAATATGAATGAAGAAACTCCCTTTTGGTGCTTCATGCAATTGTTCACTCATTCACTCATGAAATACATAGTATAAGCCTACTATGGCCTGGGTATATGTGTGATGTGTAGGAAATAAAATAAATTTCTGAAACTCTTCTCCTTTATCCAAAATCCTCACAGTAGTGTGAAGACAAACATCAAACCACCAATTAAACCATTGATTATATTTGTGACAAGTGCTTGTACAAACATTGGCTCCTAGAAAAGCAGAAAGCAGTTCAGCTCAGGAGAAGGAGGTGTGGCCGGTGTGAGAAAGCCGCCCAGCTGAAATAACGTCCCTGGGATCCTGACAGGAGTTGCCATGGGGGCCAGACAGACAAAAATGTCCACTGCAGCAAGAACAGCTCATTCAAAATCCCCAGTCAGGGCCTGAACTTGGATAACACTAAAGCTCTCAGTGCTGTCCACTTTCATGCAACCTCTGCTCTGAGACCAGCACTGCTCTGAGCAGTGTTAGGCAATGGACAGCACACGTGGAATCTGATACATGCTAGGGAGGATGGATTGCAGACACGGTAACATTTGGGATCTTGGTTTGGTTTTGCTTGTAGGAAATAAGAAGAGGACGGAAAACAACCACTGCTGATTTAAAGCTGACCCTGCTATCTCAGTTCTACACATTCCAAAATGCACTGGGGTCTCCCAGACTGTAAGTGATTCCCAGAGAACATCCTACTGACTCCAGAATGTGCATTAGCTCTTTTAAATTACAAAGGTCCCACTTCATTCACAGAAACAATAATTTATTAAATGACTACTTTAGGACTGGAATAGCAAGCCTGTCTTCCACCGTCCCTGGGGCTTGCTTACAATCCGTGTCTTTGTGAATCGGGTCTTAATCTCTTTATGATGCTTCCCAAAACTGTTAATGTGTTCACAAAATATCTTGTTGTCAGTGAAGATAAT